CAAGGAGGATAGAAGGAGAATTGATGTTTTTGAGCTGTGGTGCTGGAGAAGAGTAATGAATGTACCATGGACTGCTAGGAAAACAAACAGATTCATCTTGGAGAGAGTTAAACCAGGCTGCTCCTTGGAGGCAAGGATTCTGGAGCTTCATCTGACATACTCTGGACATTTTGTAAGGAGGGACAGGTCCTTGGAGAGGGACATCATGCTTGGGAGAGTGGAGGGACGGCGTAGGAAGGGAAGACCCTCTATGATGTGGATTGATTCAGTGACTGGGGTAATCGGGATGGGTGTGTCAGAGGCAGTGCAATTGGCACAGGACAGAGCAGTGTTTAGGGCTGTTGTACACAGGGTTACTATGAGTCGTAAGCGACTCGAGGCACATAACAACATATTTAATGACATGAAGAGCAGAGCTCCTCATAAATATTACTTAGGATTAACAAATATTATGGACATCTTTATGAGCAATATTAGTAGCACAATGATTAAAGTGCTCGCCTGCCAATCAAAAGAACAATGGGGTAGGTGTGTTAAGAGTTGTGAGACTGGCTCAGGACAGGGCAGGCTTCAGAGCTGTTGTACATTGGGTCACTGCGAGTCACAGGCGACTTGACAGCACATAACAACAACACTGTTCAAACCTAACCAACGAGTCACTCTGTAGTAGAAATATATTAACAATCTGCTTCTGTAAAAATTTACAGCCTTTGAAACACTATGGGACAGCTAGCTCTACTTTGTCCTTTAGGGTCACTATCAGTTAGAATTGACTTAGCAATAGATTTTCGTTTATTTGTATTTCTAGTCTAACTACATGATATACTTTTGAAAGTAAAACCTATAATAAAAAATGAAAACATTTTATATGCTGTACTGACTTTAATGCAGATCTTTAGTTCTTAAAACACTGTATATTGAAATACCATTAACAATTTAGCACTAATACTGAACAATTTTCCATGAAATTTACTTTTTACATTGTTTTCTTTTTTAAGTTAGATAAAATTCTACTTGTAATACAAGAAGATTTGCACTTTATCATACTAAAGACACTAACATTTTAAAATCATAATAAAACCTAATGTTAACTAATGAAAAATGTCAATCAGAAAAAATATATTCTTAATCAAATCTACTCATTAAATTATTTTGAATTGCAAATGGACTACCTATGGAAAATGTAAGATCAGGAAAAATGGAATTATTATATTTGACCTCCAAGATAGAAAAAAAAAAACAACCCACCCCAAAATACCAAGCCTCTAAGAGCCATAAACAGAATGAGAGAAAAGAAAATGATAATCAATCCAAGAAATTCAATAATGAATATACATCTAATTTTGAGACTACATAAAGAGTTGTTAACCTCCAGTAAACTACAACCTATCTGAGAGCAGATCTAGATGGTGCCCCGCTACCACTATCTTACCATTCTGACTTGGGATATAATAGAAGATTATGGTTAGGAGAAAACTTCAGAACAAAATTCATTCATTAAAAAAAAAAAATCAGACTTATAGGTCAGATAGACAGTGGAGGAATCCTCAAGACTATTGCTCAACAGGGAACAAAGCCATCCCTGGAAGTAATCTCTCAACTCTATAATACTGGAACTAGCCAATAAAACCAGCTATTTTAAGCTAGAAAGGAAACATTTATCCAAAAAGAAAGGTAAGAAGCCAGAGAATGATAAGGAAATCAGATAAATGGAAATAAACCAAGGGTAGAAATATGGAGTACCAGCATACTGCAGAGATAGCAACCACTGTCTCAGAACACTTTTGTGATTAAGATCACAAAAGTAACTTTTTTTTTTTTTTTGGTGTGCGCGTACCGTCAGATCTCAGATCTGACTCGTACAGGAGGAGATTGTCCCTCCTTTTCCCGGCAGAGCATCTGGTGGATTCGAACCATGTGCCTCTGGGATTGTAGTTGCAGCTTCTTGCCACTAGGCCACCAGAGCTCCCCACAAAAGTAACATTTAATTCTATCAAACTATTAACACTTTATGAAACAGTGAACAGTGTGGTGTTGAGTTACTGTTCAAAACAGCTTTTCTAGCCATTGACTTTGACTTTGCTGCGTAGATGGGTAGGAATATATGAACAAAGTGTGCTAGCCTATCCACATGGGACTTGGCTTTTCTCACTACTAAATTTAGCAGATTCAGTGGCAGATTTTGAGACTCTCATCATCAGGAAAGCAGCAGCATAAATACAATGCACCCTTTAGGGCCAGAAAATTTTACACCAGCCAAATCTACAGGAAAACAGCAGTAGCAGGAGAGACCCCGAGACCTAACAAGAGACAGGGCTAACATTTGGCCTGCTACCCTATGAGCTGAGAAGCCTTCACCCAAGTCTGCTGAAGACTACAGGGAGAGCCATCATTGCCAGGACTAAGAGCCTTGTAAGGCTGAAGGCTGATGGGTTTGTGAGCAAACTTCCGAAGCTGTCCTAAGAAACTGTATCCTGTTAATCTCACTAATAAACCCCGTAATCATGAATATAGTTCCATGTGTTCTATGAGCTTCTGCAATGGATTTTGGACCCAGCAGAGCAGGTATATTGGTGTTGGAACTGGTAGAAAGAGGTAAAGGAACATGATGGACAGGCCTGACCTCATGGGAGTTCTGTGCTGTGATGACGGTAGTAGTTCCCCTGGTGACATTAATAGAGGTCTGATGTGGCTGTCCTCATGTGACCCTTGTTCCTTTCATAAACATATATTGCTTTCAATTATTTTTTATTAGCTGCTTCTAATAAACGCAACAGATGCAGGAACAGATTGATGACATCCAAGTAGAGGCTGATGGCTGCCAGTATATACTCTTCAGGTGACAGCCTATGCATCAGTGAGTGGGTGTCATAGATGATGAAGCCGCAGAAAAGCAGGGCTCCCCCAGCAGCAAAGACCAACTCCAGTGTCTCGCTATAGAAGAATAACTGTAGGCAACAAGTAATATGTTTGCATTTTAGAACAGGCATAAGAGAAACTACTTGCTGCACTAAACTATTACAATATATTTAATACTGGTGTACAACTTTGAATATAAATGTTCAATATGAAGAAAGATATGGTGGGTTACCCACACTTCTGCCGGATGGAAGGTAGACTAGATGAATGGATGGAGAGCTTCCTTTCCACTAAACTACCCACTTGAGTTTCAATAGCAGCATCAAATTTATTTAGAAATATTTTTTTTTAAAAATGAAATGTGCCACTTGGAGGCTGACAGTTACATATAGCAGCCTCTTTCTATGTGATTTTTTTATTGTTTATCTTTTAATAATACTGATCAATGTAAGACCTTCATTTTATAAAGTCTGTAACAATCTATATATACATGTCCAACATAATTAGAACTGTCCTATTTTAAGAGCTCTAATTTCAGAATTTTTAAAAATTATTATATAGGTAGTACCCAGTTTCTGAGATATTTGAGTTGTAATGAACTTTACTTAGGACCAATCAGGTACTTGGAGCTCTGGTGGCCTAGTGATAAGAAGGCTATGCTGTCAACCAAAAAGGCAGGCAGTTCAAATCTACCAGCTGCTCCATGGGAGAAAGGACCAAACAGGTGCCTGCATTCATGCTTCTTATTGTTAGTAATATAAACTATGTACGTTTGTAATACTATGTATTTATGTAACATTATACATAGTATTATTACATATGTACGGAATATTATAATGTAGTGTACATGTCTTAGAAGGAGGAGTGGCATCCACTTCCATAGCTTGCCTCCGGAAACCCTATGAACCTGGAGAGAGGATGAAAGGCACCCACGCGTCGAGGACTCTCCTTCATAGGGTCGCTATGAGTCACCTGCAACTCGACGGCACTTAACAAGAACAACAGTGTACATATGTAATATTAGGTACATTTACCTAGTACATAGTTGTTGGAATCAGCTCAGAGCTGACCCTCCACTGGGTTTTCAGAGGGAGTTTAATCATATGGGAGAATATCTGTTTTTCTCCTGTGAAGCAGAAGCCAGATTCAAACCATGTGCCTTTGGAATGGCAGTGCAGTGCCTTACTTTTGGGCCACTAGAGTTCCCTAGTACATAGTACAATGTACTATGTAAATTTGTACTAGGGGAGCTCTGTGACTTAGTGGTAAGGAGTTGTGCTGCCAACCCAAAGTCAAGCAGTTAAAATCTACCAGCTTCTCTGCTGGAGAAGAAGGGCAAATTCTTCCCATACACTTTACTATTTCTGAAAATCCACTGAAGGGTCAGCTACTGGTTGATACCGACTCCATAGTACATAACAATAACAACTACATAAAATGCTGTACCACCTAATTCCCTGTTATCATTCTCAGATGTTCACTTGCAGATGTTCCGTGTCATGATTTACTTTTCAGACACTGCTATATAGTAAGCTATGGCTGGTCTATAATGAAGTCTGTGTGGGAGCCATTCTGGATAGAAAGCTGGACAGTGTGTTCAGCTCTTACTCACATGGAGAACTGTATGTCTCATGTGGCCAAGGACCATTACCACTTCAACTTCAGACTAGGCCTAAAGTGTGATATTCAGTGTTTTGTACCATCAGAAGCATCAGTTGTTAATTTCATTGTCCGAGTAAATTTTTTTATGATTTATGTATTTTCAAATGCATATATGTATTAAAGTATATCTGTAAGGTTATATGTAATATTTCCAGTTCCCCAAAACAAAGATCCAATGCATAAAGATAATAAAAGACAGTAAATAGTGAAAACTCAAAAGAAAATGAACTAGTTTACTTGTTTCAGAAACCGACCTTTGATGGTGTCATTGGACTGGAACTCTCTTGTAAGTTGGGGACTAACTATATTGACACAGAATTATTTTCAAGTTACCATTCTAAATCAACTCACCCTTAAGAATCCCGACAAGCACAAAATCCACAAAACCGTAAATAGCCTATAAAAAACAAAATATAAATAATTTAGACTATTATTTAATATAAAAACTTTGTAAGCCTATTTTAAATTTTCTGAGTAAAAAACCTTGTAAAGAGAAATCTGTATTTTTGCCAAAGAATAATTAAAATGTAAGAATTCATGAACATGCAATGATAGCTATGATACTCATTTTGAATTATTTATTTTAGGAATCGAAAGCCCAATTGGTTATTCAAAATTGGTTTTTATGATTTACAAAACTAATTTAAGAGTATTATTTTAAAAGTTTTTCATTGGAAAAAAATACTAACATATGCAGAAATTGTGGATGCATCTTAATTCAGAAAATTATAAAGCTTTCTAGAAAGTACATATGTGAACAAATGAAACATAATGGCATTTAAGCCAAAAAATACCAAGTTATTCTAAGTACATTCATATCTATTAAAATTTCTGTTCTGTTCTACCATTCCAGACAAACAAAAACCAAAGCCATTGCTTCTAAGTCGATTCTGACTCCATTAAGTTTCTGAGGCTGTAAACCTTTATGGGAGGAGACTTCTCCCTCAGTACAGCTGGTGAATTCAAACCAAGGACCTTTCAGTTAGCAGCACAGTATGTAGCATACCATGCCATCAGAGCTCTTTATTTAACTCTAGACAACAGAAATGTGCCACAGCTATAATTTTATGAATTGCCATTCAATCGTTATGAAGAATAATTACATGACAATATCTAAGAAAGTCAACCTTGTTATCAAGAGGTGTTGGTAGGTTAAGCATCAGTCTGTTAATAGAAACCATCAGCTACACAGATGGGGAAAGATGAAGCCATTTCCTCCCTTCCATAAGAGATTTACAGCCTCTGGAAACCCTATCTTAACAGTTCTACATTGTCCTCTAGAATCACTCTGAGTCAGCATTAAGTAGACAGCAGTGAGTTATGGAGGAGTTCTTAACTAACAATCAAAACGCATGAAACAGAGGCTAAAGGATAATGTTCTCTGGGAAGAGAAGAAGCTGAAATACAGAAAAGCTTGTTTACCACAACAGTTCTAGAGAGTATACTAGAAATTGAAGGGAGCAGAACAGAATAGGAGGAAATTGAGTTGAGAACTCCAAGAGGTAACCTTTCATTACATATATCACAAAAATATGTATTCAATACTCTCCCCCAAAATAAAATCATGGCCTTTCTCTAAATTAAAACTCCATTCTAATAAAGTTAAACAGGTTGTACAATGAATGATCAGTACTAACTGACCAACAATATTATTTTCTTGATAGACAATTTTGGTAACCTGAATTACAAGAGAAAGAAAGTTAGTTTTGCAACACTAGACATATGTAAATATTGAGTGTTGTAATGAGAAAAAGAACAGAAAGTGACTGGGTAATTACGTAGGGGGAAAAACAACCCAGAAGTCACTGGAAGGTTAGAAAGGAGACTCTGCATTCCCACCAAGTGAAGCAAGAATGTATCATTATTACTAGTGTGTTGAAGTATGCAGGTTCATCTACATAGATTGGAAAAGTTCTGAAATTCATGCATGTATCTCTAAAACCCAGGAAAAGAACCTTTAAATATGTAGATGGTCTTGACAACATTTATACTAAGACAAAGGCCTAGCAATTTTAGGCAATTTTCACACCTTCATAAAATGTCTAAGTTTAGCCTCTGGAAGGCTGATGGTTTTGGCATTCACTGTCTTTCCATTCCAGAGGAATCAAATGACTCAGTCACTTACCATCTCCTGTGTGCTTCAGGTGAGTAAGATCTGACCCTGGTATTCAAAGACATGCTTTCCCATTGCCTACCAATAAAAGTCAATACCCAGAGATAGCAGCATGGTATTTCTCTTAAAGTAAACACCAAAGACTTCTATTATTGCAAAGAGTATAAAACTTACCCTGCTCCAAATTTGCTAAAATCTTTCTTTGACTGTAGAGTATATGCAGTCAAGCCAAGAAATACTGCAGTTGTCAATATAAAAGCTTGTAGAACAATATAGACATCATAGAAAGTAACTGTAAAATTAAAATATTGATTAAAAATGCATATAACTTTATTAAGTAAAAAAATGGCTCTTTCTGGCATTTAACAGAAGTACTTTCATCTCTTTTTGTAGAGACCCTGGTGGTATAGTGGGTTAAGCACTGGGCCATTCACTAGCCAAAAGGTCAACAGTTCAAACCCATGTGCCATTCTACGGGAGAAAAATGAGAACAACTGCTGCCATAAAGGTTTACTACCCATAGGGAAACTCTATTCTGTTCTAAAGAGTCACTGTACACCAGACTCCACTTGATGGCAATTGTTTATTTGTATCCTTTTCCATTTAGAAACAACTGTAGAAATATCCCAATTCAGCCATAATATAATACAGAGGCTCCAAAAAATTCCAAGCATACAAAAATAAGGAGCTCGTGAAGGAGTTATATTATTCTGAAGTTAATGAAATAACTAGCAAGATATGGCACAAATAGGAAGTCAGGATTTTCAGAAATATGAAAGAATAATTCTCAACCACTCCTGTCTCAGCTACAATTTATTAACAATTGTGGTGGTTGTCTATTATGGCTTAAATATTAGTAGTAATGATTTTGTTCTTGTGGCTGGCTTGGATAGAACCATTGGTTCAGATGAATTCTAGGAGCTCTGGTGTCTGAATGAGTAAGAGTTGTGCTACCAACCCAAAGATGGTCAGTATGAACCCACTAGCTGTTCCACAAGAGAAAGACGGGCACCCTTCTTCTGTTTGACTTAAAGACTCTGAAAACCTGCTGGAAGGTTGGCTATGTGTTGGTTCTGACTTGACAGTACATATTAACAATAGCATTAATAATAGCAGTCACTTGGCTAGCTGCCACTGATCAACTGTCCAACTCAAGGAAATTGGGCATGAAAAACTGATACTGTCTGGGGTTGACTGTCATTCTCGCACCCTGAAGAAGATATAAATCAACCATGATTTTTATCTAAATCTTCATTATCACAGAATACATGATTGTAGCTTTGGCATTAAATATGCTAACAAAAGGACAATATATAACATTAAGTTCTTTGAACTCAAAACTGTGATTTTTTAATTTTCAGATTAGTTATCAAAGTTATTCTACTAAAAAATGTTTATAATAATTTTTGTTTATGTCATTACAGGGATAGGAAGATGAAAACAGAAATAACAAAACATGAAGGTAGTTTTGATACTTGTAAGTAATTTCAGTATACAATTAGGCAGAAAAAATATTGTAAGAAAAATAATATCTTAGATGATCCTCTCTATGTATTTCTGCTTCCAATTCCAATCACAATGAAACTAGTACCCTTCATCCTTTATACCTGTTGAGGGAGAGAGAAGGCAAAAAATGAACTTGATAATAAAATTAAGAGTAAATGAACAATGACACTCCCAAGATGAGTAGTTGATTTTCAGTGACTGCACCACGTTTCTAGACTGTAAATCTCTACAGGAGAAAACTGCCCATCTTTCTCCCTGCAGACATGCTAAGCACTAAGCTACCAGAGTTCTTTATGACAACCATGTTGTTCTTGGGTGCCATCAAGTTGGTTCCAGCTCATAGTGACCCTATGTACAATAGAATATAATAACCATAAAGATTTAAACAAATAAAATGCTACTGCTTCTAATAGTTGATTTTGACCTTTTTTGGAGGACAAAATTAACCAATTCGGCAAGACAGTAAGAATAAACAAGTTTTTATTAAAGACATATTACATAGGGCACAATTATACAAGACACCTGCAAACACATACTTAAAACCAAACACAGAATTATCAGTTTCTTTTTATGCCAAGTGAAAAGCAGCAAGAATATAACATTAAAGTACAGTGCAATGTAGGAAACTTCAAGCAGCTAAACTCATGTGACCACCATGTATAGCTCAGAACACATGTTATCAGTTCCCTTAACATCCCCTCAAATTAGGGAAAAGACCAGTATTTATTGTCTTATTTTTATAAATAATAAACACAAATGAACCAGTCTCTTCTAGTCTTTTCCCCCCCTTATTCTTTTGTACTGCTTCCATGGTAAATTGAACTCTATGAAGTATAAACATTTGAATTGTGCTTATATTTTAAGAATTCTTCCTTTTATGCAGTATTTTTGAAATATGAAATTTCATGAGGTTATGCTTTAGCCCGAAATACTTTTCACCATAAAGATCTGAATATGTTAAAAAGATACTCTTAACATATATTGTAGCACAATTATAGCTTACCAACAATGGCCACAGTCAGAGCTTCCAATAGTGTCTAAGAAAAAAACAAAAAACAAATACAAAATAATGTCAATGCATGTACAATTTTTACTGTCTCACATAATATAAAAACAGACTGCGTGGATCATACATAACAAACTGTGGCTGACTCTGAGAAGAATGGGAATCCCAGAACATTTAATCGTGCTAATGCGAAACCTATACTTGGACCAAGAAGCAGTCGTCAGAACAGAGCAGGGCAACACTGCATGGTTCAAAATTGGGAAGGGTGTACGCCAGGGATGTATCCTATCTCCATACCTTTACAACCTGTATGCAGAACAGATTATCTGAGAGGCTGGGCTCTATGAGGAGAGGCATGGCGTTAGGATTGGTGGATGATCTATCAACAATCTGCATTATGCAGATGACACAACCCTGCTCGCTGAAACTGAGGAGGACCTCATGCACTTACTGCAGAGGGTCAAGGACTGCAGCCTTCAATATGGACTGAGGCTCAATGTCAAGAAGACAAAAATTCTCACCACTGGACCAATTGGTAGCATCAGGATGGATGGCGAAGAGATTGAGATTGTTCACAGCTTCAGTTTGCTCGGCTCCATGGTCAACACTTTTGGCACCAGTAGCCAGGAAATCAAAAAACGTATTGCGATGGGAAAATCTGCGGTTAGGGACCTCTCTAAAGTACTCAAGAGCAATGGTGTCTCTCTGGAAACTAAGGTCCACCAATACAGGCCATGGTTTTTGCAATCACTTGTTATGCATCAGAGAGTTGGACAATGACTAGGGAGGATAGAAGGAGAATTGACGCCTTTGAGCTGTGGTGCTGGAGAAGAGTATTGAATGTACCATGGACTGCCAAGAAAACAAACAGATTCATCCTAGAGAGGGTTAAACCAGGCTGCTCCTTGGAGGCAAGGATTCTGGGGCTTCGTCTGACATACTTTGGACATGTTGTAAGGAGAGACAGGTCTTTAGAGAGGGACATCATGCTGGGTAGAGTAGAGGGACAGCGCAGGAGGGGAAGACCCTCTATGAGGTGGATTGATTCAGTGACTGGGGTAATCAGGATGGGTGTGTCAGAGGCAATGAGATTGGCACAGGATAGAGCACGGTTTAGGGCTGTTGTACATATGGTCGCTATGAATCACAAACGACTCGACGGCACATAACAACAACAACAACACATAATATAGAGTCTAATGTGATTCTCATTCTTCTCAATGTTAGCCACAATTTGTTGTGATCTATGCAGTCAATGCCTTTGCACTGTCAGTGAAACACAGACAGACATTCCTCTGGTGCTCTGACACTGGCAATGATTTCACCAGTGCCACAGCCCCTTCTAAACCCAGCTTGTAGTTCTGGTAGTTCTTCAGGAGGATTTTGCTTGCATGTGATATTAGTGGTATTGTTCTATAATTCTCACACTCTGCTGGATCACCTTTTCTTGGAATAGGAATAAATATGGATTTCTTCCAATCTTTTGGCCAAGTAGCTTCCTCCAGATTTCTTGGCACAGCCTGGTGAGCACATACAGGGCTGCATCTGTTTGTTGAAATATGTCAATTGGTATACCATCAATTCCTGGTGCCTTGTTTTTTGCCGATTCCTACAAAGCAGCTTGAGCTTTTTCCTTCACCACCATTGCCTCTTGAACATAAGTTGTTTCATGAAATACTTCTGTATCAGCCAGGTTTTTTTTGTAAAGTGACTCTGTGTACGCCTTCCTTCCTTTTTTGATGCTTCCTGGATCATTCAATATTGTACCCATAGGATCCTTAAATATTGCAACTAAAAAAAAAAGTACTGTAACTCGAGGCTTGAATTTGTTCTTCAGTTCTTTCAGCATAAGAAATGCTGAGCAAGTTCCATCCTTTTGATTTTCCAAATCTAGCTCTTTGCATATTTCATTATAATACTTTGCTTTGTCTTCCTGAGTTGCCCTTTGAAATCTTCTCTTCAACTCCTTAACGTCTTGATTTCTTCCCTTTGCTTTGGCTTCTCAATGTTCTAGTGTAATATTCAGAGTTTCCTCCAATATCCATGTCGGTCTTTTCTTCATCCTTTGTCTTTGTAATGACCTTTTGTATTCTTCATGGATAATATTTTTTATATCCTCCCATAGCTCATATGGCCTTCACTTATTAGTACTCAAGACTTTAAATCTGTTCCGGAGATGGTTTTGAAATTCAAGTGGGATATACTCAAGGTCAACTTCTGCTTTTTATGGATTTAATTTTCTTTGACTTCAATTTGAATGTGCATATAAGTAGTTAATGGTCTGTTCTAAAATCAGCACCTAGCCTAGTTTTCACAGCTGATATTGAGCTTCTCCAATGATTCTTTTCACAGATGTAATCAATCTGATTCCTACGCAGAACGTAAGATTAGGTTCACACATACAGTAGCAGCTTATGTTTATTATAACAGATCATTCGAGAGGCTGGATTTTATGAACAGAAATGTTGCATCAAGACAGGAGGAAGACTCATCAACAACCTACGTTATGTAGATGACAAAACCTTAC